CAACAAAAATAATTCCAAACAAAGCCACAGCGCTGTTTTGCGTCTCTGAGCAACATGACGGTGTTTCGTTCCGAATGAGTCAACTGTTTAAATGATTCGGTTCATTCGCAATGACTCGCTTAACAGTGACTTACTGCCACCTACTGGCGGTTTTAATTTCACATTTAAAGTATCTTATTGTCTGCTGACATGAAAAGTTCACTGTATATCATAGTAATAAATACCATTTATTACAGCATTGATATTTTGTTTTCTTTTTAATTTATAAACATTAAATATTACATATATGTATGTAATAAAATGTGTATTTCCATTACAGGTTTAGGTCTTAAATTTCATATAAGGTTGTATTAAAAAGGTCTTAAAAAGTCTTAAATTTAACTTGGTCAAGTCTGCAGAAACCCTGTGAAACTTAACTCGCCTTCAGGCCATCCAAGATGTAGATGAGTTTGTTTCTTCATGGAAACAGATTTAGAGAAATTTAGCATTACAACCCTTGCTCACCAGTGGATCCTCTGCAGTGAATGGGTGCCGTCAGAATGAGAGTAAAACAAGTAATCCACATGAGTCCATCAATTAACATCTTGTGAAGTGAAAAGTATGTTTGTAAGAGACAAATTCGTCATGATGTTTTTAACTTTTAAACCTACGACCATAATCCATAATAATGCTTCGTCCAGTGGAAAAAGTCCATCACCTGTTGTTCTCTCACATTAAAATACAGCGACATATTTGTTTAGAACTGCATTGGACTGTTTTCACTTGTCAACAGTGCTTGATCTGTGCGTATTTCTCTCCTGATTCAGGTGAGACAACCTTTTCACTGTAGAAAGCAATATGTATAGAGGACTCTGTTGTTTCTTACAAACACACATCTTTTCGCTTCATAAGACTTTAACTGATGGACTTGTGGATTATTGTGATGAAATATCACCTGTTTGGTAAATTTGCTGTATTTTTCAAATCTGTTCCAATTAAGGAACAAACTCATCTACATCTTGGATGGCCTGAAGGTGAGTAAATTTACAACAAATTTTCATTTTTGGGTGAACTATTCATTTAAGTTAAAGGTCCACAGTAATCTTAATAATCTCTGATAGTCATCATGTTTTAAAAACATTTAATTCTCTCACACCAGTTTACTTCAACCTCTTTCCAGGAAAGATTCCAGAATGTTGCCAGTACTAAAATCTGTCCAGTTGTGGCTAAATATTGTTGCTGTGTTAAAGCCCTAAAACATGAATCTCACACACATTTAGCTGAGTTGGATATTTTGATTCCAGCATTACCAGGATAATTAAATTCTGTTCAATGCTTTTATTCCACGAACAGATTTTGAATAGGAGTCTTGTGAGAGAGTCATTTCTTAATTTGAGAGCATTCACATGACCTTCAAGTCATTTTAAAGGTTGCAAGGTTGGGACACTTTGAATCACAAAGAAGCACTCTGAGAATTGGTGTGTTTGCACAGACTCCTCAAAACACAAACCAAAACAAGTATGCATCTCAAAGACACCTGTATGTGCTCCTTTTTTGGTGTGTAGGAGAAATTAGGGCTGTGCAATTAATCGCATGCGATTGTCATGCATCTCGTCAGTAAAGCCGGTTCCGTGATTAGTAGTAAATCTCCATCACCTGCTTTCAGATGGAGCGGCATTTACTACACAGAGCCGTAGATCACTGACAAGCTACGCAATATAGCATTCATAATCGAATGCGATTCATCTGCGATTATGAAAGCGATATTGCCTAGCTTGTCAGTGATCTACGGCTCTGTGTAGTAAATGCCGCTCCATCTGAAAGCAGGTGATGGAGATTTACTACTAATCACGGAACCGGCTTTACTGACGAGATGCGCTTGACAATCGCATGCGATTAATTGCACAGCCCTAGGAGAAATGTAAACCGTAATGATGTTCTTTGGACTTTTTGAGAAAGATTTGTGTTATCTTATGTTTTATTTTGCCCTCTGTTAATTAAGATGTTATCTGTCTTGTTGCCTTTGTAGATGGAGCAAATTTTTCAAGTCTAGACTGGTCACTGTCATCACGACGTATGGAAACACTGCCTTCATCGTCATCATTTGCATTCTTGTCTTTCTGCTCGTAGGTGAGCTTGAAAACACCTCACTGCATTGTTCTCATTAAGCAGTCTTGTTCATTCTTAGGTTTCTGCATAAATCTACATACACCATCACATGGCAATTAAGTCATTATGAAGTTAAAGAGGATGTATCATTATTAAAAGTTGCAAAAGCAGGTCATTCAGAACTGATTGCTGTGTTGATGACTGCCTATATTTACATATCAGTGCTTTAGTATTCAGCAATTTGGCAGGGTTATTCATTTTTTATATGAAAAAGATAGTTAGTCATGACAGATCATTAACATATACTACTGTTCAAAAATTTGGGCACAGAAAATTCAGATTGACATCACAGGAATAAATTACATTTTTAAATATATTAAAATAGAAAGCAATTATTAAATATTATTATACAGTTAATAAAATATTATTAGCATTATTAAAGTGTAATAATGTTTCACAAAATTACAGTTTTTTTTTTAATCTGTATTTTTTGATCAGATAAATGTAGCCTTGGTGAGTATAAGAAGCTTATTTCAAAAACATTAATAAAATCTTACTGAACCATATGTCCTACTGACAGTAGTGTATAAAGCTCTAAAGATTTAAAACAAAATTTGAACTGTTTTTGTTGCAAGACAGATTGTTACATTCTGCGTTTCTTCAGGGAAAAATAAAATGCTTTAAAAGTGTAGAGTATGACCTTTTTAAGGTCAAAAGAAAGAAATTAAACTAATTATATTATGTGTTAAGTTTGGGAATTTGTGGGAATGACTGTATGCAATAATTAAATCTGCAATAATTAAAGTAAAAACAAATTTAACTGTTTATGCCCTTGTATTTTGCATTGATTGAACTAGATTTATGAATGAACATTTTTGAACATTTTTTTATTTCTGCCTCTACAGATGCATTTAGAGAAATAAGAAAATATAGTTTGACAGAGAAAGTGGATCTGAGCAACAACCCCGTGGCCATTGAGCACATCCACATGAAGCTCTTCAGAGCCCAGAGGAACGAATACATCGCCGGCTTCGCTCTGCTCCTGTGTTTGTGAGTGTTTTTTCCCCATGACTCTCTCATTTTCTATGCCAGTGTTTCCCAACCTTTTTTTAGTCGCGGCACCCTTTGGAAATTTTAACAAACTTGTGGCACCCTACAAAATTAATTTTGTCACAATATTTGAATTTCTAACTTCGATATGATAATTTGAAAAGTATAGATATTCGGTACAACAGGGAAGAACTGCAGAATATAATGTCATACAGATATTTTTAATATTATTAAAAAATTTTGTCCATCAATGGTGGCAATCAGTAGGCTAATTTCTAATGAAGAGACCAATTTATATGACAGATTTTAATGTAGGCTTTTATACATATGTAAACATTATTTAATTACCATTATAACTAGCTATCATTGGCGACATCAGAAATGGATATTATATAATAGATGCTTTTTTGAACATTTTACCAATTTAAAAATATAAAAAAATGATTTTTTACACGGCACCCCTGCTCTTGACAGACGGCACCTCGGTTGGGAAACACTGTTCTATGCCACTTTCTCCCGCAGGTCTTTCTCGTTTCTGTATTTTGCCCACCTCAACATGTCTCTCTTCGGCACTGGTTTTCTGAACACGATCAGTTGCACGGTCTAAATGTTGTTTTGGTTGATGGCTCCCAGCAGATTTCCTGGACCAAGCTTGTAAACAGAACTTCACCCGGACTCTCATAAGAGGGTCTTTGGGTTCGACACGTTCAATCCCTGAGGAGTGTATTTATAAGACAATGCACAAGTTGTTTCATTGTAACCCTGTGTTATATTGCAGTACCCACTAAAATTACCAGCCAACTGGCAAATAACATATTTACTCACAAAGATGTTTTCATACTCTCATTAAGGGCTTGCCGTGTGTACATTTAGTACCCTTGGTGTACAAAACTACAGGTTGTTTTTACTAGGTTTTGTCCTCAACTTCTGTCACTGTAGCCTATTACAGCCCAGTGCCGCAGACCTCATCCGTCAATCAAATCAGACCCTCCGCCCACTCAAGGATATTCAGGACAGATAGGTTGTTTGTGTCATAACAAAAGATGTTCCGTTAGAATTGTTATCAGTGATGTTTAGTTAAAATATTATCAAATTTATTGATATGATAAATGATATTACAGCGTGTACTGTTCATGTTATGATAAGGATGATAAGGGGACCTACAAAAGGTGAAATGGCTAACATTTTTGGCACTTCTAGCATATGACAATAAGTAATCTAGACTTTACTCATACATTTTTAAAAATGTGCATGTTTGATAGCAAAAGTATATAGAAGCCTCATGAGACGTTTATTTTGAAATGTGATCCACAACTAAGTGATAGGTAATAGAGTGATGCAGTCTTGCAAACTATTCTTACTTTATTGCTTGTAGATTTTTAATAAAGACTGAATAGCATGAAAAATCCATTTGGGTTTTTGTCGAGGGAACCGGGTTGTATGGAATAGTTAGACCCTTTTATTTTGTTAAAATGTTTAATTAAATACTTTGTGCATTTAAATGCATCTTTTTTACTCCTTTTATTTTTAAAGATGAAAAGCCCATAAAATGCTACCGAAACAAGTTATATCTAAAATTAGTTTTGTGACATGAGCTGTTTTTGCTCAATGCAAAATGTCAGTCATAGTGGCTATTGAGGGAGCCAAGGTGATATAAAATCATACAAATGAATTTTTTGAATATTATTTTGTATGTTTTCTGAAATTTTGGTAGTTCAAAAGTCAAAATGGTTAAATGCACCAAAAATCATTATTTAAAGCTGTAGTTCCTCTACTTAACCCTGGGCCAGCTTTATTTATTTTTCCACACTGAAAGTGAAAATACATGAATGTTCTCTATACATAAATTACTTGCTTGTCATGCCAATTAGCTTCCTGATTTCTCTAGCACAGATTTATCTTGCATCCCCACCTTATTGGAGACAGTGTCTTTATTTATAGTCATGAAGGTGAATGAGTTGTGTACGTGTGGGGCAGACAGAGAGCAGAATATGTTGCTATATTACAGTAGACATGGAAAGAATCTTATGTTAAGCCGGTTGGGGGTCCCCCACACTGTTTCCATTCACAAACCTCATCCACGGGTACTTAACTTCCCGCATCCTGATTGGCCGGTTTGTTGTGCTCTATACGTAACATTAGAGAGTCTCCCAGATCTGCATCGTTTTCCCATACAGGGGTTTCACCATATTTTCTCTGAATGGCAGGTTATTTATATCCTGCTGCATGACTATTACATCCATTAGTGATACTACTTCCCTTGACTGCCGGGCTTGAGTGTCGTTTTCATAATCATGCGGACAGCTGCAGGACATGTGCTCAAGCAACTGGTGATGGCATTATATTTAGCCTGTGTTCATGGCGTTCTCGCTGGCCAAAAGGCCATGACTTCTGTTACAAAATGGACCTCCTCCACCTTGCCAGCAAATGCACAGATGCCACAAAGGTGACTGAAGTGGCGCATGGCGGCGTGACATGTGCTTCAGGCATGTTAGGATGCAGTAGCTGTGTGGATGATGGTTTAAGGGCTGTTCAGTGGTTAATGCAAGAGAATGGCAAACATTACAAAAATAACTTGTTTTTAGAGAATATATATTAAATCTATTAAATTAAATATTAAGTCTATTTGTCTTAGTCCACTGGCGCCTGACAAATTTTAGTTAGATTTATGCTTAAAATAAGACAAAAATTGTTAGTGGGGTAAGAGAAATACATGAAATTAAGGAGATATTCTCTGATCTCTTCTAAGTAAATGAATCTTTTATGGATGTTTGGAACTTTTTTTTCTCTTTTATTTTTGACATTTTATACACATGCATCTGGTATTATAATTTTTCTTCCTTTTTCTTCTCTGGCTTTATTGATTCTGATATTATGTACATTTAACCAGTCATCATCATCATCTGAAAAGCTGTAATAATCTAACCTTAAATACGATCAAGTATTCATGACACACTTTTTTTATTGCAAAATAATCTCATGTATTTTTTAATCTCATAGAGTATATCAAGAAGGGTGAAGCCCATTAAGTATTGTATCATTATTTTCATGGCAATAAAAATGTGTTTCTTTGTTTAAAATATATATTTTTTTTAATGTGAAGTATTTATGCATGATTTTGAACAGGACATTTTGTTGCAGTGAAAATATTACATTTTTTAATTATTGTTTTGTTTGTATTTGTCTATACTGTATAAGCACTTGCACCAACTAAAAAATAAAAAAATGGCAAATTTAAAAATCACGAGAGGTTAAAGTGAATCTACTGTAGATCAACTCAGATCACCTTGTTAAGTCATACAGAGCATTTGACCAAAATGTGGGCTTCTCTTGCATTTATGCAAGTTGTGGCTGTCCTTGGTTAAACCCATCTGCATTTTGGTCACAACAGCCTTTTTCAAAACCTTGAACCCTTTTACACGTGTGGGCACTGATATGAAGGCGATGCATGCTGCATTCGAGCACACGGTTCAGATGTCATCAGCCTGTGCTTCTCAGCTCATCTGGCTCTATGAAATTGTAGAAGAGTGACGGTATTAAATGAGGAGAATAGCCAAAAGCTATACACTGGCTTTAGGCTGGCAAAAACCATGTGATATTTGCCTATTGTCGAGCAGTAGTTACTCATTTGTTTATGCTGATTTTGTTGTGGTGATTAATGCACATCTGTGTTTCCTAGAAGTGTTATGCATGCTTCTGGAGATCCCCAAAAAAAAGTTTAAAAATGCAGAAAATGTACTGTAATATTGTGAAATATTATTACAATTTAAAATAATCATTGATTTATTGTCAGTGTAGGAAACAATACTTTTTTCAGGATTCTTTGATGAATAAAAAGTTAAAAAGAACAGCATGTATTTAAAATAGAATTTTATTGTAACAATATACACTACCGTTCAGAAGTTTGGGGTTAGTCATTTATTTATTTATTTTTTAAAGAAATTAATACTTTTATTCAGCAAGGATGTGTTAAATAGATAAAACGAGATAGTAAAGACTTACATTGTTAGAAAAGATTTCTATTTTTCATAAATGCTGTTCTTTTTAACTTTATTCATCAAAGAATCCTGAAAAAAGTATTGCAGGTTCAAAAAAATATTACATAAACAGCACAAATGTTTCCAACATTGATGATAAATCAGCATATTAGAATAATTTCTGAAGGATCATGTGACACTGAAGACTGGAGTAATGATGCTGAAAATTCAGCGTTGGATCACAGAAATAAATTATATTTTAAAGTATATTAAAATAGATTATTTTCTAAATCGATTATATCAATTATAATAACATTTCACAATATTACTGTTTTTTTCTGTATTTTTAAGCAAATAAATGCAGCCATGATGAGCATAAGAGACTTCTTTAAAAAATATAAAAAATATCACTGATCCTAAACAACTTTTGAATTATATGATTCATCATAAATTAATTATGGTAAATTCTACATAAACAATTTTTATTAAGAATTTAGTGTAGAATGTTTAAGAAATTGTAAAATAAGTGTTATAGAATGTTTAATATTTAATGCATTTGTTTGTTTAATAACATCATAAAGTAGTACTGGTAGATTTGCTACAGTATGTGGTCAAAAGGGACCCTAAATCTGTGTATGATATTCTGTACTCTAGATATGGGCCATATCTGGTATGTTTTCCCCCACTTGTTTTATTGTCTGGAAGGTGAAAATTGCAGAAAAGTAACAGCACATGTCTCCTCATCAAGCCACACGATTTGAGGAATCATTGATGTCTGGAGCAGAAACGTGTAGGACGAGTTACGTAATGAAGTTCAGTTTTTAGATTTAAGGGTTTGTTCAAATAATAGTAATAGAGATTGTTGCCTTTTCAAGCACCAATAATTATGCCAAAATCTGTGTCAGTACAATGCAGAATTGCAACATAGGCTGCTGTGGTGAGCTGTAATGATCAGATACACACTGACTGTTTAGTAAATGTTGTTTTTTCCCCTCCAGGCTGTTGAGACGTCTGGCCACTCTGCTGTCTCAGCAGGCTACACTGATGGCCTCTAATGAAGCCTTTAAAAAGCAGGCAGAGGGAGCAAATGATGCTGCGAAGAAGTACATGGAGGAAAATGAGAAACTGCAGGAGGTGAGAGAGTTGTGCATGAAACTGCCAGTCTAATAGTAAAGCCTTTTCATGACCCTAAAGGCTTTCAAGGTGCGGTTACCTTTACCTGGTACCTGGTTAATGACCAGTGGTGTAACTACGGGACGTGTGGGTGGGACAGTTGCACAGGGCAGGGACTGTGATGAATATGCTGTATTAAGAAACTGTTCAACCAAAAATTAATATTCTGTCATTGTTTGCTCACCCTCATGTGATTGTAAATGTCTATGACCAACACAAAAGAAGAAGTTGGTAAGCTGCTCTATAGTGACCTAATTCAAAAAAATAAATGATGGTGTTGGAAAGACATGAGAATGACTAAATGATGACAGAATAGTAATTTTGAGATTATTTATTCTTGAATTATTGCTAACATGTTTGTGATTTAGTTGTGATCCCACATTCACTTCATTAGTAATGCTTTAACATCACATGTTCTCATGAGTCATTCTGGTTTGATAAATGTTCATCATTTCTCAGTCCTCAGAGAAACACTGTCCATCAATATCACAGTGCTGCAGACTTTGCACTTTACCACTTGAGGGCAGAGGTTCACATTATATCTACAAATGGGTTTAGAATTGACAGACTATGTGGAAGTGTCCAAAAGTAACACTTGACACTCACGTACTGTTAGATGCCAGTAAAATTACTTGAAATGTTGAGTTACTGGCCATTTGCTTAGTGACCCTTTTTTTGTGGTAAGAAATATAAATGGCTAGAAAATGCCAACACTTTTGTTCCTTATGACCCAAAATGAAATATGTTACTATTTAAATTTTTTTTTGATTAGGCTTTTATATTTGGGGTTGTCAAGACTTTTTAATTTTTAAAAATATTTTTTTAAAACAAGTCTCTAATGCTCACCAAGGCTGCATTTATTTGATCAAAAATACAGTAAAACCAGTAATATTGTGAAATATTACTATTTAAAATAATTACTTTCCATACACAAGAAAAAAAAATTATTAATGTTGAAAACAGTGTAAAATTTAGTGTGTCCATGATGAATAAAACTATTCAAAGTATTCAAAATAAATAAATAAATAAAATACATAAAAAGTAACCAGAAACATTTGAACAGTAGTATATGTATATGTACATATTTATGAGTTTTTATAAAAATATTTTAAAATTAATACATTTCTATTTGGTATGCATTTATTTGATGAAAAATATGTCAAAACAGTAATATTATGAAATGTTATTACAATTTAAAATAATTACTTTCCATACTCAAGAAATAATAAACGATATTTTATTTTACTATTAATGTTGAAAATTGTCAAATTTAGTGTCCACGATGAATAAAAGTATTCAAAGAAAAAAAATCCTGACCCCAAACATTTGAACGGTAGTTACCTACATGTGTACATATTTATGATGAGAATAGTTTTTATAAAAATATTTTAAAAAATTAATACATTTCTAGTAATTTTTATAAAAATGAGTAGGAATATATTTAGGAAATTGGGAATATAAACAGGAAAATATTTTGACTGTTCTAGTTGTTATACTATTACATATCAAGAAGACATTGTTGATAGCATCTTTAAGTAGGACAGGTAACCCAAATATTGAGGTTGGGTTTAGTGGTTGATAATTGAAACTTTATAGGTGGTGATGAGCTTTCATCATTGTGCTCTTGAGACACTGAAACACATTTGCGTTCAGTGGACTTCCAGGGAAATTCAATGGAATTGCCAACCACTTTGTATAATTAACATCTGTTAAATAACTGACATTATAAACAATGTAGAGCGGAGCTACAGTTCAATAGAACAGTTCCATGTTGACAGGCCTTTTTAAATGCAGTGAAAGGAGAAAGTACCGAGTGCTAGTTTGTGCCCTTATAGTAGAATACATATGATGACACTCCGATGACTCGCGTCTGCTTGTGGCAGCCTTGACATCATCAAACTCATTTATGGCTGTGTGTCAATGATTAGTTATTATTACAGCACTGTATTTATATTTCTCAAGCATTCTGGTTAGGGTTTGTTCTAAACTTCTGACCCCGAGTATTAAACTTCTGCTGGTAGTTCAGACTGAATTGGTTAACAAACAGACTCATTTCAAGCATTGTTTGATAGATAATTTGAGTCTTGTTTGTTCTGTTGTTAGTTTGTAAGCATTACACTTATAAATAGATTTAAGTTTGAAAATTTTCCAGTGGCCTTCATGGCATGTTCAACACAGTGTTATTATTGTTTGGATTTTTTAAAATTTAATTATTATTTTTGTTTAATTTCTAGTTTACTTTTTCAGCTTAGTTTTTTATATATAATCTTTTTTTTTTTCTGTTTTTTTTTTTTTTACTTTCTGTTAATTTAGTTTTTATTTTATTTTAAGTTTTAAAGTTTTAGGGCTTCCAAAGTAGTGCACTAAATAGTATCATTTTACTAGCATTGCATTTTTTTCAGCACAGAGTCTAGGTATTATGGCATTTTTATGTTTAATGCAAATAAGCATTATTAGTGGTATTTATATACTATTATAATATTATTAATATTTTGAATTAGCTTTTATTTATATCATTCCAAATTTATTTTTTAGTCTTAAGTTTTAGTAATTTTTTTATGTGCTTTTGTCATTTTTATTAGTTTTTGCTTTTTTCCATATAGCTTTAATTTGTTTTAATTTTAGTAATTTTAGTACTTTAACTTCAAATTTATTTCAGTTAGTTTGCCATGGCACCATTTCTAATTTTATTTTGTCTTTTTTTTCTTGTAGTATTTATTAATATTTTTCTTAATATTAAGATATTCTATTTTGTAATATTTTAATATTTGCATAACAAATTGCAATTGGTCCTCTGTTTTACATTTATTGACACTGAATTGTCATTGATCTGGTGTTCCTTGCATATATATTTAGCTGCTTTTACACTTAACCATGTCTATGCCTATTGATTCTTGTAGTCAAGAAAAAAAAGGCATGCACTGACTCTTATGACAGTTGCGAAACGTCTCACATATTGTATGACATTTGCAAACACTGTTATTTCCTTGCACGTCTAATTAGTTAATAAAAGCCCTGCAAACGGCTATCACATGCTGTGTTATTGTCTTTAGCAGTTGTAGTTTGTTAGTATGTAGATGCCTGAGTGTGGGGAATGCTGGGATAGATCAGCACTGCGTGGCTCAATTACAGTGCTGACGTGCAGTAAGCCACCACATTGATCTTTGCATGCTGTCACCCCATGCAGAAGCATGGCACACGTGGGTTATCACACACACACACACACACCGCCATAATTCACGTCTGTCAAATGTTGTAACCACAGAGGGAGCCATAAACAAGAGCACAAGCCGTACTGAGTGACAGATGGTGGAATATTTCAATTTAGTAAATTAAGTTTTACTCTGGCATAATGAGGCCTGTAAATCTCCCGCTCTGTTCTTGAAGCGTCTGTACAGGACGAGTGTCCTTTGACTGGGTGAGATGACCTGACCGGCATTTGTGATTGTTTTGCTGCAGTTATTATTGATAGACTTGAGTGCATAATCCATGTATAGATGCTAACGGGGCTGTACTGTGAGGGGACGAGGCAAGAACGGCACATGACCCCTTAAAGGGCCTGTATTGATCTCTCATCTCTGTTGATCGTTCTCCATCATTGGTCCCCAAGCAGTTATTGGAGCGCTCTCACAATTCAATGTGAATAAGATCATGAATTTTGCACGGTTCTGCTTCATAAAATCTAGTTCTATTGCAGCTATTAGTTATGTGAAATAGTTTTTTAATAATTCATAATGCAATTAGCTAAGACTGATCCTTTGGTATTTAAGCACTGATAGTTTTTGTGAGGGCTTGATGGTTGGAATGGGTCGTTTTCCATTCTTTGAGCATTTTACGTTTTAGCAAGTCCACTTATATTGTTAAACAAGTTATATATTGTTAGTTCATTTTTACCATTTTCACCCTTTCTGTGGGAATTTAGCAGGCTGTTATTGCTACTTGTACCATTAAGGCTTTACTGTATAGATAAATGATCTTTTGTTATGACTGGCGAATCTCCCTGTATCGTAATGTAGGCGGTCATGTGGTTGTGACGTCATTAATGTGCCAATTTTGCACAATGTTTTTGCTGATTTGTTCCCATAAATGATCTGGATGAACTCGAGAGGGAAATTTGCATTGTGAATGTTACAATATGTCTGCATAGGGCATTTATTTATTTATATATTGGTTTATTTCTTTATTAATAAATAAATGTATTAATAATAATAAATAAATTAATAGTAATAATAATAATTATTATTATTATTGTTCTTGTTACAGGGCTCTATGCTTACTTTTCTTTTTAGGAGCACTTGTGCTCCTAATTTAAAAAATTTAAGAGCACAGTCAAAAACTTCAGGAACACCTTCTGATCAATAACAAAAATTAGCCTTCCCATTACGAGGTGATATTTGACTCCTTAGTTATTTACAGTGGTATTTTTTTTTTACTTTTGTAATGCCATTTTTCCAACTTTATTTAAAGTATGTAATCTTTTGTCAAATTTGTTTATAAGCTTTTTTACATTTCTAATTAAAACAATAGAAGAAGAACAAGTTACCAATCAAATGAAATCATTATTAACAAAATGTATTTGCACTACAGAGGTGGCACAGAAGAACACAAAAGTGGCTTGTAGGTATATTTACAGATGTTTAATGAGGCTCAGAGGTGGCATGAGTGCCACTAAATTCTTAAATGTATGTTGAGAGTAATGTTTTAAATATAAGATTTTGAATACAGAAACATTAAATGATTTAAATAACTGAAATGATACTTTAAAGGGGTCCTATTATGCTCTTTTACAAAGTCTAGATTTAGTTTTGGGGTGTACTAGAACACCCCAAAAAACACATTATTTTTCACATATTTTACATTATTACAACACCTCTCTCCCCAGTCTGGCATGAACGGCTTGAATAGTTCCTGTATCAAATGAAGGCCCGCCTTCTGAAATATGAAATGTGCTGTGATTGGTTAGCTGGGCCAGTGTGTGTTGTGATTGGCTCCACTCGGTGCCTGGTCGGGAAATGTCATGCCCCTTACCATAGCCGCCTGCTGCAAGCTTCAGTGTAAATATTGTGTCAAAATCAAATCAATTTGAGCACAATTTAAACCCGGATGATTGTAACCACTCTAAGTTCGTCTGCCTTGGGAAAGCTAGCGTGTCTCCGACATAGTGATAACACTCGTTGCCTTTTCTAGTGCAGCTCAACCAGGTCTCGTCCCATTCGTCGGTATTTGTGATATCACAAATCCCGGAAAATATGCGTTGTATAACGAGTCCAAACGAGTCGTTCGTTGTAGTTTTTGAAAAGTGATTTCTGTTAAATAAAATATCTCCTTTTGAAGTGGACTTTGAGCTTTGTAACTTTGCAGATCTTTTTTTATGCTCAAACAGCAACATTACAGACTAACTAAAGTTGAAAAAGTGAAAAAGCATAATAGGACCCCTTTAAAAATGAAACTAAAACTGCCAGTAGGTGGTGACAAGTCACTGATTTTATCACTGAATCATCCACTCAATTGATTCATTCAAACAGCTGATTCATTCAGGAACGAAGCAAGTGACTGTTTTATGAATGGGTAATTGAATCATTCAGTACGTTTACATGGACAGCAATACTCTGATTTTAATACGATTAAGACAATACTCTGATTAAGAATCTACCATGTAAACAAATTTTTGATTAATTTAATCCGGCTAAAGTCATAATCGAAGTAAACACTAATTGAATTAAGACATGTGGAGTATTCCTATTTTAGTCACATTATTGAAGTGCAGTAAATGGCTTCAATAACATCGTCGTCTTTGCATTTATAGTATGACAAATAATTAACTGCACTTGAAGCTTTCAGTAAATAAAAAATTAAACACCCAAAACTGTATATGGCATCATAATGAAGACGAACTATATGTTTGTTTGTGAAATTCTGGAGGGGACGTCGGATGGCGTCGCGTGGTGACGTAATGACGTGTGCCATTAATCAATCTATGTACTATAACATGTAAAACGGGAACATGAAAGGAATATTCTAAAAGCAACTCATGTAAACACCTTAATCGTAATATTGTCTTATTCAGAATAAGGTAAATAATCAGATTACTGATGTCCATGTAAATGTAGTCATTGATTCACTAGATTTGTTTAAAAACGCATGTTCATTCATAAATGAAACACCACTGTGTTTGCTTGGAGATGTGCAGCGGCTCAGCTGTAACTTTGTTTGAAACTATTTTCATTGACGAAATAGAGCAAAATCAGGCAATAGTGTTATAGTCAGACAATGAAAGTCACTTAATATTAACTTCTTGTTTATTGAACTGTTGTATTAAATCAATACCACATTTACTCCTTTAATAATTATTAAAATCGGTCACTCTCCTTATAGCGATCTGTGGGCGCACAGAAAATGAGAGCGCGCGAGTGAGTTTTACACCCTGTCTACACTTTGTCATAATGAGAGGATTCGTGAGCTTACATAATTCAGCACTGAACAAAACGCCAGTGTTTTGAGCAGTGAGTGTATTCTGATTAATATTGTGTTCAAGGAATAAACAGAAATCTGTGATCCATTACTCAACGCTGCAAAAACTCATTGTAAGTAGAAACCTTTGATGCTCCCCTGAGCGCAAACACACATATGCTGATCGGGTCTGTAGCACTGGTGCTCCTAAATATTTTTTCATACGCAGTAGTTTTCAGTCGCAAATGCAAATGAAATGGCCGCACTGTAGAGCCCTTCGGTATTATTATTATTATTAAATATAAATGTATTCATAATAACTGTTACATCAGCAACAATAATAATAACAGGAAAATAAAATTTATTGATGTTGTTTTAAGTGTGATGAATGTTACTGTATTAATAAATTTGTATTGTTTTATTGGACTTTTATCCGACACACATATATATATATATATATAAATGATTCTGGGGTGCAAGGCACAGTACTTTCTATTTTGGTCTGTTATCAACTAAAAGTAGATGAAAGCTTCTATAACATACAGCTATAGAAATATGACTGGTCAAAGAGGGATAAATTGAATCATTTGGGAATACTTGAGCAATTTATGTTTTAGATAAAAAAATATTAAATTAAATAAATTAGTTATTTAAAAAAATTGTGTTGCACTGTGCCATTTCAAAGTTTTAATTTACTGCATATTATTCACATTTTCCTAAATATTTTAACCAGGGAAGGGATTCATATTCAGAATACATACTGATGCAGTTAATTTTATTATTATTATTATTTTTTTAGAAATATAAGTAAACGTAGGTTTACAAAAATATTCTACAGGACTGTAGAAATTAAGACTTTATTACTGCCTGTTCCAACTATCAAGGTTACAGAGAAATATGAAATGTTCTGTTCAGCTTTATTTAATTTTAATTTAATTATGATTATCAGTTATATATTTAATTTATATTAATTTTTATATAATTTATTATGAAAGCAGCATTTCACTGTGCCAGCTTGTCAAAGAAATTTGCATCTTTCATTCACAGGAAGCTGCATATGATTTACCCTGGTTTCTAAATTAAAAGTATGAGGACATGACAAAAATTATGCAGTTTCCTAGATTTAAGGGGCGACACCGCTTGCATCATCTTCACTCTCCTCTTTTAATATATCTGCAGGAAACATCATCCAAAACATCTGACCCAGATCTAGTTGTTCCCCGAGGCCAGAAAACATCTTTCCTTTGTTTGACAAGAACTAAAACACTCCCCTGTGTTTGTTCCCTTGTACAGGTGACTTTGAAAAGGCTCTTTTAAAAATGTCTGTGTGCCTTGGGCCACGTACCTTGAGCAGTTTAGCATGAAAATATTCACTCGGTCAGGTTTTAACGATTTGTGGAACTCCTTTCACGTATGAGAAACTTTCATGACCCTTGACAGCTTTACCACAATATTCCTCATGCGGTTATGTGTTCATTTGTAAGCAGAAGAAGAGTACAGAATGTCTGTGAGCACACTGTTGAGTTAGCGCTGACTGCTACTGAAGTTTCAGACAGTTATTGTTCAGTAATGACCCCATGAAATCCAAATTTCACTTTTGTTGTGTTTAGTAAAAGTACTAGATTTCCAGTTAAATTTTAGCTGATATGTGCATTTAACATTTCCACTCTTTCTCTTCTGGGAAAACCAAATATTCATGATATCTTGGTCTCAGGACTTGCAGTACACATGTGGTGCTTTATCCCACAATGCATGACCTTTTTTTCAACGGATTTCCAGTAAACCGGAAGTAATATTGCTGTGATTTTCCTTTTTTCCGTACTTTTTTATGCGATTATAATAGGATGCTATTTGCTAAATTAAACATGCTACATGATGAGGTCATGTGGCATTTGCATACTGCATACTTAAATATATTTAAATAAAAATAGTAGGCTACATTAAGTGTTCAGCATGCAGTAAGCTGCACACCAGTGTTATTTCATCATACTATTATAGTTTTTATTAATTTATTATTTTGAATCAGTTTTTTATATATTTTCCATTTTCGTTTTAATTTTAGTTAATTAAAGATTTAGTATTTTTATTTTGCGTTTATTGGACATTGTAATTTAATATATGTCTATAGTTTTTATTCATTTTTATTTGTTTTAGTTTTTTTAGTGCACCAAGTTAACATTTTCTCATTTTCAGTTGATTTATCGACTAGCTGAAATAAAATGTTTTTTTTTTTATTTCAGTTTGTTTATTTTATTTCTTGTAACAACAATGTTATTTTTTTATTTTTTGTTTTAGTTTGTTAACTATACTAACCCTGCATTACACTAGTATTAGAGTCCAAACGTAACTACTAACTCCAAATAAACTAAGGAATAAAAAAAATTAAATAAAAATCTCTAGAAACCATTGTTCACCATTTAGCATATAGATAAGCAGCTTTTGAATAGCTGAATCATAAAATGAGTTTTGTATTGAACTGCATATGTTGTTTGGGTTGATCATACCATTTATTCTGTAGTGTTCTTGTATTTAGTGAGTCTACAGGCTAAAATCATCTTTCTGGAGAATGTTTTATGTTTGTATGAGGAGTGGGCCAGTCAGATGTGAACGGCTACTGTTGATGGTTACTCACTAACTGGATCTTCTAAGCTGGTTACACAGATGGAGAACATTGATAAACCTAATTTTAACATCATTGCAATCCCTGGAAAATAGAGCACTTGTTTTTTTCCCTGTAACTTATTATGTTAATGAATGACCTGTGAAATTGTAAAGAGAGTCCTTACAGGACAGTGGTTTAGGTTTTCGGTGAAATGTTTTGCAAGTTTTCTAGCTACATCCCTGTCCTTATATTTAGCTAAAAACATCCTTCCAAGTAACTGTTTGCAGCCCATTTCACCTCTGAAACAATGAACTGGATATATTTGAAAAAGCAGAATGGAACTTGATTTTAAGGATTGGGAATTGATTGAGTCAAGAATAAATTGTGCACAGTAACATGTATAACAAAATTAAACCAGTTTGAACATGACTCTGTTAACACATGAAGTGATTTATCAGATATTTTACACCCTCTCATTATCCTCTGGGAACTCAGAGCAACACTTTTTGAGAAATAGCTGATTATCCCATGATATGACTAACAAAAAGATGACTAACTGTTTTTCATCAGAAACTGCGGGAAGCGGGTGTTGAAGTGCCTGAAGTGGGTGAGAAGGCCAAGGGTGGCGTGGAGGAGGATAAGAAAAATCTGACAGAAGAGGTCAGGAAACTGAAGGATGAACTCGACGCAACTAAGAAAGGTACTAAATGACTCTGAATCACTCCGCTAATGTGTGCACGTCTATGGTTGCACAGTCTCTTGGTGAACATTAATGGTCGAAAGACTATTAAACAAATGATAAATAAATATAGTAAAATGTATTATATAGTTATATAGTAAAATGCTAAGTATACTACAAATACATTTACATATTGATGCACTTAATAAATATACCCTGAAGTTGTACTTTTGGTATACTAAACTGGTATAAAGTGTGCTAAATTGGAACAACTAATTTTGTCCTTAATGCACTTCAATTGTGCAGTAGTGCTGAAGTCCAACTAAAGATGTACTGAAGTATGTTTGATTGTGCTAAAGTGAAACTATTGCAAGTATACTTCACGTACACTTTATATAACTTGCATTTAAAGACTGATATTATTCAAAGATCATACAATCCTCATCAATAGTGACATTAAAACATATTTTAGGCTTAATATTAAGAAATAGCAGTAGTACTCCAAATAAAGTTTAATTATGTTTATATATATATATATATATATATATATATATATATAACTATCTATGTTAATAGATTTGAACTATACTTAGAATGAAATAAATGTATTTTAAATATAGTACTTTTTCACTTGGGAAGTTTATTAGTATTAATGTAATTATTTGATTGGATCATGCAAAATGGCATATTATTGGTTTAATATTTTTCCCTGCAATATGCAATTGGAAGTGTCAACAGAAAAGTCATTTCAGAGGTAGTGAAAGCCATATTTTGATCAAAGATTATTAGAACTAACACTTTTTCTTTAGAATAATATTAACAATAATACATTAATGAATTGGCCACACAATAAAACCAGGAGCATTTACTGGAACATTTACCGTTCAAAAGTTTGGGGTCAGAACGTCTCTTCTGATCACCAGGGCTCCATTTATTTGCATATACAGTAAATGCAGTAATATTGTCAAATATTATTATGATTTAAAATAACTGTTTTCTATTTGAATATATTTAATATTTTAAAATGTAAAATGTAATTTGTATAAATAAAAAAAAAATCATAAACAAATCATAATTTTCAGCATCATTTTTTGTGTCACATGATCCTTCAGAAATCAATGCTGCTTAGTATTTAGGGCTCCATTTATTTACATATACAGTAAATGCAGTAATATTGTCAAATATTATTATGATTTAAAATAACTTTTCTATTTGAATATATTTAATATTTTAAAATGTAAAATGTAATTTGTATAAATAAAAAAAAAATCATAAACAAATCATAATTTTCAGCATCATTTTTTGTGTCACATGATCCTTCAGAAATCAATGCTGCTTAGTATTTTTGTGGAAACTGTGATACATTTTTTTTCAGGATTCTTTGATGAATAGAAAGTTTAAAAGCATTTATTTGCTTTTAAACTTCAACAGCATTCAGTTTAATGCGTTCTTGCTTCATTATTTAATGTTGTCAGACATGGATTCAGAGTACATAAAAAAAAACTTCGGTCCCTTTGATGACCCTACAGTGAGCAACACAAGATGACCTCAGCAGAACTAGACTTCTTACAAAAGAATAAGCTTAGTAAGATCGATTCCCATGCCTCCTTTCACATGTTTACTGTATAGTATATATAGACAGTGCTAAAGAGTTCATGACCCTTTGATGACCCCCAAACTGAGGTCTCCATTGGGTCATCTTGTACCAAAGCACATTTTAAGGGTAGTGCAGAAAACAGCAAGTGAGCTTGCATGCAGCTATTGTTTTATTAATAGTTTTCAGATCAACCTGCCATTTAAATGTCATTGTAAATAAAATGAATAGTGTTATACACTTAGTTTCAACAGTTTGGGTTCAGTAAGATTTTAATTTTTTTAACAAATTGATACTTTTATTAATCAAGCATGCACTAAATTGAATAAAAAGTGACCGTAAAGTCTTTTACATTGTACAAATAATTCTATTTCAAATAAATGCTGTTTTTTTTTTTACTTTTTCGATTTATCAAAGAATCCTGATAAATGCTTTTATCACAGTTTCCACAAGAATATTTAGCAGCACAACTGTTTTCAACATTGATAATAATAAATGTTTCTTGAGCAACAAATCATTATATCAGAATGATTTCTGAAGGATCATGTGACACTGAAGACTGGAGTAATTATGCTGAAAATTCAGCTTTGACATCACAGGAATAAATTACTTTTTAAAATACATTGGAATAGAAAGCAGTTATTTTAAATTGTAATAATATTTCACAATATAACTGTTTTTACTGTATTGTAGATCAAATAAATAAGAGACTTCTTAAAAAAACATGAAAAAAGGAACTTAGCAACTCCCCAAAAAATCTTTTGATTGGTAGTATATGTCAATCACATGGTCTCTTCTGGTCTAAGTGAGCAGTATTTGGACAGAATAAGCCACAAAGTGAACCAGAGATTCCACTGAAAGTCAAAACGCACTGTGGCACTGTGATGATACTGTAACCTGGTGAATTTGTAGACCTACAGAAAAGGTCATTTAGATCTCGTGACTCCTGTATTTCTAGGACTTATTGTTTGCACTGTTTGTTTGTGTGTGCAGCTCTTCAGAAGTCAGACAGCGATGTGAAGGCCATGAAGAAGCAGGCTGAGAACCTCACAATGGAGTACGACCGTCTGCTGGAGGAACACGGCAGACTGCAGGTCAGCTCATGCGTGTGTCACACCGCTAACATCTTTCCTTGACCCTAGTGAGCTGCCTCGCTGTCTGCAAATAACTGAAGTGACCTGATAAAAGATGAATGATTTCAGTAGCATCTGAAGTATTTGAGTTTAGATGTGGCGAGTCTCTGGTTAAACATTTATTCTATTTCTTATGCTAAGCCTCGTATGCATAAGTACCAATCGAGTTGAAGTCTTATTCAATGCAGCAAATCCATTCTTTTCAATTAACCATTTCACTGGTTAGCTTACGTCTTCACTCAAAAGTGTACATAGAAGTTCTAGCATGCCATTTTACTTTAATTTAAATGTATTTGTGTAAGCATGCAGGATTTTTTTTTTGATTAATTTGATATGTTGGTAAATTTGATTATGTATTATTCTTTTGTTTTATTTAAAGTGTTTAATTGTTCTTTTAAATATATTTTATATCAAATTTACTTTGCAACAGTTCAAATTATGTTTACTCTTAAAAGAAATCAGCTCACAATATTGAAACTCATGTGGCTGATGATACTAGAAGAGATTGCCGCACTCTCTCCCTGTTCACTTTTTTCTGTACTTTTATTACCCTGAGGTCTGTGCACCTGTCAGTCGTCGTCCTCTGGAAGCATGAACGTTATGACTGGTAGTCTTCTCAAGTGTGTGTAAGTGAGAGAGAGGGTGGGAGTCAGATAGACAGGCTTCTCTTGTTTACATATAAATAAGCAGCTCATAAGAGACCGTGACTCATTGCATGTTACACGCTCAGCACACAGCAACAAGGTGCTTTCTGCTTTCATGCACATCACAGCGCTGTGAAGCCCATTCTGTCATCCCATACAGTTTTATATATACAGTGTATAAAGCAGGGGTGCCCAAACTCGTGGAGGGCCGGTGTCCTGAAGAGTTTTGCTCCAACCCCAATTAAACACACCTGAACCAGCTAATCAAGCTCTTATAGGCATACTAGAAACTTGAAGGCAGGTGTGTTGAGGCAAGTTGGAGCTAAACTCTGCAGGACACCGGCCCTTCAGGACCAAGTTTGGGCACCCCTGGTATAAAGCATGCAGGACACAGCTAAGACTTCCCGAAGTCATGTCAGCCACCCAAAATCACTCGCCAAATCAGTTGGTGACGTTCTTTCTGCTCTGTCTCTGAACGCAGGCCAAATGTGACGCTCAACAGGACAAGAAGTCAGACTGAACGAAAACCATCATGCACCTGCTCTCTTTCCTGCATCCTCATTGGCTGATAGCAGCTCAGCTGGGCAGCGCATCACTTCTCTGGCTGTGGAAGAACAGGGTTCCGTTCTTCATTCATGCGCTTTCACGTGATTCATTAAATCCTCTGTAGGGTTTTCACACACTGTAAAATGTTTTCTTTCCATTTTTGTTGAGAACATTTGGTGTTTAAATTTTATTTCAAATGTTTTGGTTATAAAATATCAGAATGAGTATTAACATTTCTTGATGTGTCAGTTTAGGGAGCCTAACCCATGAAACACAAGCAGAGTGAATTTCTGTGGACAAATCATTCTTACTTAAAGGAGTAGTTCACCCAAAAATGAAAATTTGATGAAAATTGACTCATCGGGCTATCCAAGACTAGTTTGTTTCTTCATCAGAACATATTTGAAGTAAGTTTGATATTAAAAACGCATCACACATCTTGCAAACAAGCATTACATGTCACAAGATGCTAATTGATGGACTGGAGTGGTGTGGATTACTTGTGGTTTATTGTGATGTTTTTATCAGACTCTCATTCTGACGGCACCCATTCACTGCAGAGGAACCACTGATGAGCAAGTGAGGGAGAGTACATTTTCAGAAGTTTTTTTTATTTTGGGTGACCTATTCTTTTATATAGCCACATTGAATTGAATGCATCAATTTACCTAAGTGTGATTTTAAAAACCATTTACACCGATTCATTCAGCTTTTGATTCATAAATGAGTCCCTTTGTTTATAAGGAAGGATCAAGAAAAACTTATAATTGAAAAACAATATGGTAATTGTTGGGTTTCAATTTTTTTTAATTAACTGCTTTAATTTTCTTGCCTCATGGGAGAAACCTTCAGTCTTTCCTTATGAAAATGGAGATTTGGTTGCAGTACAGATGCATGTCTTGGTTAATTTTAGATGTTTGATTTACAGGGTACACGACACTACACCCAGTAAGCACTTAAGAAAGAAAATCCCTCCAGTTTACGATCGACAAGCCTCGTTTGTTAGTTTTACTGTCCCACGTCATGCTATATGAAGATATTTTTGTTTTATGTTGTCGTCTTGGGTGTGGGATAGCTCACTTTTTTTCAGGGCTATTGTAGAGCAGAGCGAGTAAACCGCTTCTTTCCAGTCCTGTCTGGTTTGAGGCCACTGAGTTGGTATAATCTGATATGAGCTCGGCAGGGCTGTTACAGTGGGTAAGAATGCTGCTTTGGCAGGAACAGTAAAGCATCCACAGCTGATATTGTGTTTCAAAACACAGCGCACTGTATCTCTCGTCCTCTAGGTATTGAAATGATATTAAATGTCGCATTTGAGGGCCACGTGTTAGTTTTGAATTTACCACGCAGATAATATTTAACATCACTAAAGGTCACCGGGTTGAACTCCGTTCACTTGCTATTTATTACTCTTGCTGTTTTACAGTTTAAGCGCCCTGGGTATTTCCACTGCTTGTCTGGAATGTGTAAATAAATATCTTTGCAATCTTGCGGCAGTGCAACCTGAACAAGAATCAACCGGAATGACATCATATCCGTGTTGAAATAGGGATCTGTGGGAATAACGTTAGCGCTGTTTTGGGCTCCTAGGGGAAAGGGCATCGGGATCACTGGCACTATGTGGGATAATTCATAGTCAAGGCCTCCTGGACGGTTACCATTCATGAGAATGTGAGGAATGACATCTGCTACCATGACTCTAGTTTACTATTTCATGCGCTCAACGATTGGTTAGATTAGTGAAACATTAACCAGAGCAACAGTTCAATGAAAATGTCAGTGTATACTGAAGATGGAAATGGCAGGAGTTCAGTTTAATAGTTTGGCGGTCATGCCATATTGTGTAATTTTCAAACCCGTAAATAAACAAGTGAACCGTATAGTACTGTTAAAGGGGCTCTTTCTCTATATGCATTCCCAAATGTAGCTGCTTCTTTCTTATATCAGGTTTTTACTTTGTGTTCTTGCAAAAAAAAAACATGCACTGATATGTTGGCAATGATGGAATAAACAATACTTGGGCGTCGTGGAACATGTTGTGATTGCATAGTTGTGTGAATGCACGGTTCTGATAGTGCTGTTATCTGCCTCGAATGTCTTCAGGAAAGTTTTGTCTGTAATAACGGCAGTCTGCATTACTTCACTACGAAATTTGTGTTGTGTTCTAATGATGTGCTTTAGCTCTGATGTTGAAAAACCAAACCAATAAATTCTACTTCATTTATCTTGATTTGTCTGCAGTGTATTTGAATTTTTTTATAAAACATTTTTAAGCCTATCGGTAGTTAAGGGGACAAATCACTCAGAATTATTGTCATGATTCACTTAAAAGTTACATAAAATTATCATAGAAGTTATCCATATAATTTGTGCGCTATATTTCAATTGTTAGGAAGTCATTAGGAAGTGTATGTGTTTTGTTTTTTTACGGTAATCGCCGTGACCGGATCGTTGATTCAGTGAGTTGAACTCGAGAACCGAATCAAATTTGATTTGTGATCGAATCAGTCTGATCACGTACTTTCATCCAGTCAAATCACCTTTATAACGCTTTATACAGTAGGCTACCAATTGTTTCAAAGCAGCTTCACAGAAATAAACGGGAAAATAACAGAATAAAGCAGCGCTAAAACGACAATAGTGTCATTATTCAGCTCAAGTCAGTTCAGTTCAATAATCAATTATGAAACAAGTGCGGTTCAGCTGTAACCTTTTGTGAACGGAATCAAATGATTCATTGAGAAAATGTGACTAGAACAAACAATTCATTAATTTGGACATTGTTACCCTCAGAATTCAAGGATTATCAGTGATTTATTTCGGTCCGTTCATCGCAGAAATATAGGCTACCATACGTCTTAAGAAGACTTGGAATATTAGTTTTGTGTTAAACTTAGTCCTTATTCGTTGTAATCGAGATGAAAAACGCGACCAGTCGACATTTAAAAATCCCCCGAGGAAAGAGTCGTACGTGCATCAGGTGAGTAAACAGCATTTTCGTTTTTCTTTCTTTTTTTTTTTTGGGATGAACTATCTTTTTAAATCTCAATCAAACCCGAATTTAAAGGGGTTTCCTAAAAATGGTGGTCGATTGTGATCGTTTCTCTCAGTTAAGTGCTCAATGAGGGTTTTGCTTTCTCGTGCAAAAAGCAATGTATGCGTGCCAAAATGATTTTGCTCGGTTAACATTTATTTTAGGAAAAATATTTCATTACCATGCACAAGTTTTTTCAACTACTTTATGGAGTTGTTAAATGATTCATTTGGCCTTTGCTTAAAGGATTTACAACTCTGAAATGAGGTCGGACTGAATGTTTGCAAGCACTTCTTCCATCCGTGCAGGATTTTTCCTTCCTACTGTCCTGCATAATTATGAACAGTATTTTGTGGGTAATTATTTTAGCTATCCATTTAATTCCGTCACAGAAACGGGCTGAAAAAGATGTTTTTGTAATTATTTGTGAAATTTACCAGCAATTTTTCTACACTATTTTTATGTGTAGTATTATAGAGTATTATAGGCCTACAGAGGAAATATTAAGTTAGTATTCAACCCAGTTCTTCGAGCTGTAATCCATCAAAGTTTTTGAGTGTAAAACTCAAACAGTTTGTCACCACTGTTTACTTGCTCATGTAAACGTGAGTGGGAGCTGATTTCAGCTTTTGTGCTTCAGGACTGAACGCCCATCTGTTTCAGGCTCTGGGCAGAAATAGAGCAAAGTAGCTCAGCTAAACATAGTCAACAAACTTCTGCCAGCCCAGCCTGGCTTAATATGGCAGCTGCACTCTCCTGACAAACTAGCATTTGTCTTTAAAACCAGTCTGAACAGCATGGGCATCATGACTGGCCCTCCCGCCTACCCCGGGGAACAGGTCTGAAACTGAAGCAGACAAGAACTACGCCACCAGGGAAAAAGTATGTGATTTGACTAAGATCTTCACTCAAACAGCCCTTATAAATATACACTGCAATGCTTATTATAGTGTCCATCAAATACCACTGCTATTAAGCCACTGTAAATTAATATGGATCTACTCTGGACTCTTTAACCCTGTAAAGTTTGACATATGACAATCCATTTTTAATCTTTACAAAAAATGAGTAGCACATGTGATAAATCAGGCTCTTATAGTACTAGGTATGAATATGGAGCTCATAGTCAATGAGGAAAAATATCTCCGTTTTATTCAGAGGCCCAAACTGAGCAAAAAATATGCAATTTGGTGCTGAGATTTCTATGGTCAAAAAGATGAAATTCTGATAGCTAGTTCTATTACCAAAGCTCTTTTTATAACAGACTTGTAGGATTTTGCAACTAAAGACATCTGTAACTTTGAGACAACAAATAAATTGCAATGAGACATTTTTCATGGAGTTAGTTTATTGCCATTTGTTGCTTTGATTTGGGCAGGTGGATCAGCACAAGATCACAGTGGTGGAGCATGAAGCCCTTCTTACATGAGAGGGATCCTGTTAGATAGATGGGACACTAACACACATGGTACAGTTACCTTAGCTTTACTAATGTTAGAGTTAAAAATGGACAACCATGGTTACATCACAGTGTGTTACAAACCACAAGAATGAAAGACAATGAGCTTATTACCAGGTCAACTGTGATGTTTCAAGACAGTATCGTCACCCAAAGCTTTGGACTCTCATTAGATGGTCCTCTCGAGGTCTGCTTTATCGTTTGGTTCTACTGAATCTGTAACGAAGTCTTTGGAATCATTAAACAAAGGCTAATTGAGTTAATAAATGAACACTGCATTCTGAGTGTAATCTGAGATTGATTCAGCTGTGCTGTTCACCATTCCCTTTAAGGACTTTGTGTAATTTTTCCTCTCTATATCTCGACAAACATTCAGCAAACCTTCAGTGCAAAGATACTGTCGAGAACATTTGGCAGAGCACAAGAAATTACACAAAACATTTTTTTCTTATTTTGTTAACGTGTATTTTTTTCTAGAGAAACATTTCTACATGTAATCACTATTGAATTATTTATCTACTGACCAACCCAGGCTCTTATTCGGATGGAAAGAAATTAATCTTTCTGATGTCGAAAATTAGTGTGTGATTTGACTGATTTTTTGTTTGCAGTTTGGCTTGTTTTAAAGCAATAGTTCACCCAAAAATAAAATGTAGCTGAAAATGTACTCACCTTCAGGCCATCCAACATGTAGATGCTGTCAGAATAATAGCTCAAAGAGCTGATAAAAGCATCACAATTGTAAAACCAAAGTTAAAACGTCTTGATAGATTTGTTTCTGACAAATACAGCTTTTCACTTACAAGACGTTGATGGACTGGAGTCATGTGGATTATTGTGATGTTTTTATCAGCTGTTTGGACTCTCATTCTGACGGCACCCATTCACTGCAGAGGATCCATTGGTGAGCAAACTACGTAATGCTAAATTTCTCCAAATCTGTTCCCTGAAGAAACAAACTCATCTATATTTTGGATGGCCCAAGAGTGAGTACATTTTCAGCAAATTTTTTAGCGAGATACTTTAACTCAAATTGGACTAAATAGTTAACGAGTAAGGCCTTTGGTAAACCAGTAACTCTAAATTTGAAGTGGTGAGGAGGTTAACTTAGTCCTCAGATGTCTGAGGGGCACTTAGATCATTTCATTCTCACTACAGACAGTCATAAAGGCATGTCCAACTCTATGGAAATGAATGGATGGGCCACTAAAATGGACACATATATATATATAGGGCTGTGCAAATAATCGAATGCGATTTTCAAGCGCATCTCGTCAGTAAAGCCGGTTCCGTGATTAGTAGTAAATCTCCAGCACGTGCTTTCAGATGGAGTGGCATTTACTACACAGAGCCGTAGTTCACTGACAAGCTACGCAATACAGCGTTCAAAATCGCAGGCGATTCATTGCCGATTATGAACGCAATTTTGCGTAGCTTGTCAGTGAACTTGTCAGTGAACATCATATATATATACACACACACACACACACACACACACACACACACCCATTTAGGGGGAAACTGCTGAATGTTTATTTATTTTTTTAAATTGAAATGTTCTAGTTTTCCCCAAAACCATAGACTGTTGGTTTATGGGTAGTTTACAGTGAGAGATGAAATTATATTTTTTATGCAAAAGTTTGGGCACCCCTCATAATTATCCTAATTTTAATTCAAAATCTGCTGGGCTTTCGAAGCAGCAACTTCATTTGGATATATTTGATACCTTATGGAGACTAACATTTCAGTTCTAAAATAACATTTTTTGAATCAACAGAAACGGCATAACTCAACCTCTTGACTGATTCTTGAACATTGTCCTTTAGAATCTGCTGATATTGGGTGGAATCCATGCGACCCTTAACTCTGACAAGGTTTCCAGTACCTGTGCTTGACACACAGCCCCACAGCATGATGGACTCTCTACCAAATTTAACAGTAAGGAGCAGGTTCTTCTCCTGGAACGCTGTTCTTTTTCCGCCATGCAAAGCGCCTCTTGTTGCGACCTCTTAGTTTCATCTGTCCACAACACATTGTTCCAAGATAATTCTGGCATGTCCAGATGAGCCTTTGCAATCCTCAAACGAGTCTTCTTGTTGCCAGTATGCAGAAAAGTATTTTTCTGCATCACCCTTCCATTGAGCTGTTCCTTGTGCAAAGTGCGCTGGACTGTGGAACGATGTACAATGTCACTATCAGCAGCAAGATTCTTGGAGCCTTTCAGATATTTTTCTCGGCCTACCAAATCTTTCCTTCACAAGGACTGTTCCTGTCACCTTCCATTTTCGAACTATATTTCTGACTGTGGAGACAGAGACCTTAAACCTTTGTGATCATTTTTTGTATCCTTCGCCTAATTCATATTGATGAATTATCCTAGTTTTTAGGCCATTAGAGAGTTCTTTTGATGTTCCCATGTTGTTACTTTCAAGTAGAGAATCAAGGAGAAGTAAAGCTAGCAATTAGCTACCTTAAACAGACTTTTTCATGATTGTTTGCGTGCGAGTTTGCAGTGTTAAGGTTCATTGAGCCAATCAAATCAATTTTGTGTTGCAATCAATCAGCATTAAGTGACTACAGGTATTCAAATCAACACAACTGAAAGGGTACATAAACTTTTGCGCAGCCTATTTTTCACCTTCAGCTTTATTTCATACTCAATACTGCTGCACTAAGAATTTGTCTGAAAAACATCCCATTATGCAGCTTTCTCTAGAAACTGAATGGCATATCACTACAATCTACAAAAGAGCAAGTTATTATCCAGCCTCAGAGGGGTGCCCAAACTTTTGCATAAAACTGTAATTAAAACAATAAGGTAAATGGGTTCTCCAATGTAGATGTTCAATGAAAACCAAATCGAGCTGGATTCTGGGTGGTCAGCAGAAAATACTGAAGTTTTACACACACAATCTAAAACATTTAACAACCGCAGCACTTGATATTTTAAATAAAACTATTTTGTGTGCTATGTCTCGTATGCCTCCCGGCATCTGCTTTGCAGCATTTCACTAAGAATTCCCACTCCATGTTATCATCTTTATCAAAAGTACATAGAGCATCAAATGTTAAAATATAACACACAAATATCAATATGTATTTATATTTATATGCATATAAGCAAAATAATAGCCTTCACAAAATAAATCTCTGATTTATTTTACAGTATGTAAATCACAAGAAGAAAAAGAAAGCTTTCTAACACGATTAAAAAGTGCTAGCAGATTATTTTACAACAATGTGCAAATATATTCTGAAGCCTTACATTATGTAGTCTAATTTGTACATTCTGATTACATCTATAATGTCACAATGATTTAGTATTTGAGTTGATTCTCCTACAGGGCAGAATTCCCACAGGTCGGAATGAGGCCGGTTTGTCTTGGTTTAATCTTGGCTATTTGTCTATGGGTTCTCAACTTAAGACAAATAAAGGCAAAGTTTGGCAACTACGCGTCTATAGTTCACCTGCGGTCACAGGCTTTACAGCAGAACAACAGAGATCAAGATCTCCGCTCGGATATTCAGCGTTCTGCACCTGACATTGGCAAAAAAAAAACAAACAAAAAAAAACACTTGCTTCATCTTAGATCAGTGATGGGCAAACTTGGCCCTTCCAGGCCACTTTCCTGCACAGATTTGATCCAACCCTGATACGACTCACCTGCCTGTAGCCTTCTAGGGCCCCGTCCATACGGAGACGCGTTTAGCTGTATACGCATACATTTTGTATCGTATAGGTGTTTCGTCCACACGGATCTGGCGTTTTGGGAGAGTGAAACCGATATTTTTTTAAACCGGGTCCCAGAGTGGATAAATCTGAAAACGCCGCCCTTGCGTTTTCGAGTGGACAGCGAATCCGTATATTTTCTGAAACGATGACGTCATCAGCCCACGTCTCGCCCCTAATCAGACACCGCTACGTCACGTAACAGCAACAAAAACATGAACAAACACTGAACGATTGTCTTTTTATTAACTAATATTAACACAGATTAATAAATGTACTGTTCCATGTTCGTTTGTATACCGTGCGCATAGTCCAAGTCTTCTTCTCCATTTTTAGTGTATCTCTGTGGCAGAATTACAGCGCCACATACTGGTCTGGCATGTATACTACATCGTTTTGTGGTTTCGTGTGGACAAAGATATTTCTTGAGACGAGGGGAAAAAAAAAGATCGGATAGGGAAAGCTCTGGCTTCGTGTGGACGTAGCCTAGTAGTCTTGAAGACAACGATTAGCTGGTTCAGGTGTGTTTGATTAGGGTTGGAGCTAACCTCTGCAGGAAAGTGGCCTGGAAAGGCCAAGTTTGCCCACCCCTGATCTAGATGGAAAACATTTCAAATTGTGGTTTCAAAAATCTTTGTCTTTTCATTTATCTGTTATATTCCCACTATGACAACCTGCTTTCAATCTGTAGAATATTGAACTGTTAAAGCTATAGGAATCTTTATGATAATATGCATTTCTGCGAAACTTTACAATGTTTTATTTGCACTTTGACTTTTTTAAATAACATGTTTTTTTTTAAGTTTCCATTACGATTTTAAATCATTAACTAAAAATGTCAGAGAACATACTAATACTGGCACTCAAAATGTAGAACTGAAACTAAAATTGTAAACAAAGTGGGCATGAAACGTTGCTTGCAGCCCATTTTAATTCACTAATGTGATGTTATTCAGAGTGAAACCGGATCAATTATTGATTGCATTGTGAAAAATTAATGTTTCATGTCGACTTTAACAATTCAATCTTTAACAAAATGCAACTTTTGGCTCACAAGCACCTTAGAAAAGTGCCACGTCTGAAATCCTGCCTGTGTCTGATAAAAACTCTCTAGATGTTTCCAATCCAAGGATAGATCGAGCACACAGTACATTTCAGCTGAACTAGGAAGTTATTGATTTTATTTATGGCAACTAAAACCATCTTCTGACAAGCCTGAGCAGAGATGGACGTCATGCTCTGTTTGGCACTTACAGTAAACACTGTGATATCATGCACCACGAATTGAGGTCACCTGTCTCAGATGAAGACACATCAAGCAAAAGCTACAGAAATTATTTCTCATCATTTGGCAACTACATGTGGCCTTGTTGACACCAAATCTAATTTGATTAATAGATCTGTATCTATTTTTGCTGATCAGTTAAACAGTTTATTGAAGCGTACATTGTTTTAGTTTAAATATGCATGAGATTTTATGAATTTGAAAATGAATTACTAATTATAGTCTTTAAGTCAATGATGCATTTGTAACACGTTTCCCCCCCCCCACCTTCTTCATTTTATCCATGTGCTTCTTGCTCAGATTTGATCCTCGTGTCAGTGCAAAGAGACCCATATCACGTTCAGGAAAGTGGCCTGTGGGAATTCTGCTGCTCTGTGAAATAATGTTATAGGCTACACTATACTGTCCCCTCCAAAGACATGCTGATTTCACCCTGCAAGTCTTGATATCTGCAATAAACTTTGCATATAATAAAAAAAAAATCATGTATATAGTTTGCAGTTTCAACAGGTGGAAGAGGAAGAGCATCTGGTAATGTGCATGCTAGAGGATCTGTTGTATGAAACAAAATGTAACCGTCAATTTCCATCAGCTGTTTTAAGACTGTAAGATGATGCAGAATTCCATAAAATGAAAAAAAAAAATACTGACGATTTCTTCAACCAGCTTGTCTTAGGAGGGTTGTCGAAGCATTTCCCTTTGATCTACATAACACTCTCAAAAATGATCACCTTGTTCTCCTCCGTTCCAGGAGACAGAGAGGCCAGGCTTTTAATATCAGTGTCAGGGGCCATGTATTCGAGGTGATGGGCTCCCCACACTGGTTTGGTCAGATTTTCCCAACGCTGCATGAAAAACAAAACACATAATGAATGGGCAACATGCTTATTTGAAGCAGTTCACGCAGTCTTAATCTATGCATTCTGAATAAAATCAAGCTAGTTTAGAGAAGAAAACTACAATTTACTGTAACTGTGAGAATAACAATTAATGACAATCAGACTAAACTTTGTGTCAACAAATCTGTGCTGACATTTCCATTTAGAGCATCAGTAGGTGTTCCCATATGATCCCACATTATTTTTAGGACTGACAAATTTAACGTTAACACATGCAAATGATGGGTTACAGTTATTTTTTTATAAATCAGACGCAGATTTATTCTTTGGACGGTTGTTCTTTTGCATTGTTTTTAATTGAAATAAAGCAGAAATAAAATAAATTATAATTATTAGATGAAAAAATTTAACTTTTGAGAAATCTTGCCTTGGCAACTACCTGTCAAAAATATTTTAAGTTGAAATATTAAAATACACAGAACCATTAAATGACATGCAAAAACATAAATAAAGAATATCAATTATTTTCTTATGATTTATTAAATTGTTCCCTGATTTTTGGTAAATTAAAACGAGGGAATAATTTACAGTAAAATAATTTAACAATAATTTAATGTACAATTTAATTTAATTTATTTTAGTCCCCACATCATATCTGGAACACCAAACTAAAATTACATATATATTTACACACACACACACATATATATACATGTGTGTGTAAATATATATAAAATTATATTATATATATAAAATTTTATATATATATATATATATATATACACACTATAGAATACTATAAAAATACTATAACATAAAAAAGAATATATACTATAATAGTATAAAAAATATTAAAACAACAACAATGCTCAACAAATGAAATATCAGCAGTTTCATTGACTTCCATATTTTCATTTCTTGTTTGCTGAGATGCAGTTTAAGAAATAATAATTTGATTGTTTTTAGTCCGAATGAGGACATTTCCCTCTGGCCAGTATCCTTATATAGACATGAGCATATTTTCCTAGTGTCAGCCTCACAAATTGCTAAACCCCAAAATAACATTATTTAGTTTTCGTTCCTTAAAAAGTAACAGAATGCCGTATTGCACTATAAAAACGGATTAATCACAATTACTATTTAATTTGTTTGACAGCCCTATAATTTTTCATTTCCTCCAGCATCCTGTGCTAGTTTTCCTACACATACATGCCACAACCCTCAGCTGTATTCAGTATTCAGTGTGTGTTTGGAAGCAAACATTGAGGGGGTGAGGCATTGTGGTCTATCTGCAGAGGAATGACAACCATTAGCCTAGTTACTATAAATACACACATCGCTTTCTCATGAGCAATTCTGATGCTTTTCAGTGCGGTAACTGACCCATAGTCCAACTCCAATGGCATCGACAGCTACACTGAATTGCTGTTTTTGGACTGTTTGCACTAACTGTTGTTTGTGGGGCCGATACTCAGAATTTGGATCTTGCAAATAAACACACCTACTCATTTCAATGCTCTCCACACCTTTCATATATTAGTGCTAGTGCACGGGAAATAGAGCAGTGCTTTGAATAGGTTGAAATGGTGCAAACCTCTCTGAATGTTCCCTTGGCTCCAGCGAGCTTGTACACAAGGCTAACGGGGATACAGAGCATGGAGGAGAGAGCCAAACACCATCCGATCACCTCTCCCCACCACGGGTACACATACACATTGTTGTAGGTCAGAGGCTTGTAGTTCAGCAGATGAAATAGGAAGATACCCTGAAGACATAAAGAGCAATGGCATCCATATCAGAGTCAACAATCTGATTGAACAACACAGGAGCAGCAGCCTAACATGTCTTTTTATATCAATTTGAACCTTGTTCAGGTCAGTTTGACCTACATCCAATTTTCAAACTGCCTTTATTTCTTCTTGACATTTTGTAAATTGTTCTCATTTAGGGTCACGAATGAGCATGCGAAGTGTTGATACATAACAAATTTGTAAAGTCTTTCCAAAACATGTCTATGACTTTTGTGTTGTGGGTCAAATTGACCTCCATTGGTTTCCATGCAATTTTCCATCCAAAATTCAACTTTGACAATCAGGTTAAAAAATATTGTAGCTTGCTAAACACTTAAGTATGAAATACGTGACACTTTACGAAATTTAAGACTCAATGTTTATTCGAAACTGAAGACTTGTCTTCTGAATCATCCAAGGAAAATTCACTGTCAAAAAAATGACAAAAAGGCAGAAGTAGTACAAATAGCAAAAAAATGTACTTACACTAAGTACACTTAATGTTGGATACCAGGGTTATTATAGTTCACTAAAACTTGAAACATAAAACAATTTTTGTTACTTGAAATAAAATATAAGAAACTTATGTTATAAACTTATTTTAAAATATAAGAAACGTATTTAATTTTTTCCTCATTTTTAGTTAGTTTATCTTATTGCACTAAAATAACTAAAAGTAAAAATGAAATGAAAATTATAAAAAAAATTATATATACATATTTAAAAAAGAAAACTAATGCAAAAATGACAAAAACACAATATTACTAAAACTTTAATGAGAATTAAAATGAAAACAGAAAATATATATATAAAAAAATAAATAAAATAAAAGCTATAATAGTATCTCAATGATACTAAAATAACCCAATATATACTCAGATGGTCATGATCTTTTTTTGGTGTCTTTTTAGTGCAGCTTATTTTCAACAAAAATATATGGGTCAAATTGACCCTTAACACAGTAGAAATAGATGGGAATTATTAAATCTCTCTGACACGCTACAACAGAGGTTTTCTGTGTTTACATTAATCTTTTTTGTTTTTCATAGTGTTGATTTTTGGCAAATTGCATGGAAACCAATGTGGCTCAATTTGACCCACAATACAAAAGTTATATCCAGTTTTTGAACACAAAAGGAGGGTTAAATGGCATAAATATTGACAGACGTAACCACTTTTAAAAAGCGTGAACAGGTGGGAGTATTTTCCAGCACTCACCATGCAAACACATGGAGTTATAAAGGACCAGCACCACTTTATCCACGGGAATGGCCGGTAACCGATCATACGGGCAATATCATCCATGAACCTGTCAGCACCTGCACACAGCGGCATGAAGTCAGCGCTCTTTTGGGTGTGTGGAGCATTAGAATAGTGTTGCTGCCAGCACAGGGTCCTACATGCTATTCTTATCTCTTAATGCAGCAAACACTGGAAGATAAATGCCTACAGTACTCATGATAAACTGATGAGACAAGAGAATGGAAAAACGGCTGCATGAAGAGATTCTCACCATAAACCCACGCGACAACCACGCATTCCCAGAATGCTTGCCACAGTAGGGTCATTCCACTGGCTGAGTAGTAGTCAAAAAGCTGGAAGACGTACATCCCTCCCTGTAAACGCAAATTGATAAGAAATCAAAATAGACCCTTTGAACTTCATAAATGCCTCACAATCAGTGCATGTTGTTTCCTAGAGAAAAATAAACACAAATATGAAATTTTTCACAAATAGTAGAATAATATAGTGGAATAATAAATATATACAAGCATAGAAAAGATTGGGGTTGGTACGATTTTTTTTTTTTTTTGAAAAAAATTATATTATGCCAGTCGAGGCTGCATTTATACTGCACAAATATTGTGAAATATTATAACAATTTATTTATATTTTAAATTTTTTTTTAAAGTAATTTATTCAGGTGATGTCAAAGATTAATTTTCAGCATCAATACTCCAGTCTTCAGTGTCACATGATCATTCAGAAATCATTCTAATATGCTGATTTGTACTTGAGAACCATTTCTTATTATTATCAATGTTGAAAACCGTGATACATTTTTTGATACGTAAACAGAAAGTTCAAAGGAACAAAATTTATTTAGAAAAGTAAAACTAAATATTATACGAGCATTTTAATTTTATGTTCACATTATATGAGATTTGCAATTTCAAAATCTAGGGCATAAAATATATTTTATAAAACAAAAAAAATACATAAAATAAAATTCAAATAATAAAACAAAATAAAAAATATTAAAATAAAATTGTTTTTTTTATAAAACAAATATATGCCACAATAGATAAGGGTAAATAGGTTGTAAGTACCAAATGTTGTATACACACACACACACACACACACACACACACATTTACTTAGATATCTAAATGGGGACATTACATAGACTTCTATTGTTTTTATATACAGATAGTTATATACTTTTGAACCTAAACCCATCCCTACCCCTCACAGAAAACTTCTGCATTTTTACAATTTCAAAAAAATTCCAAATGGAGGTTTTTGGCGATTTTGTCAGGTTTTGCTCACTTTAGGGTACAACATTCGTCACCAAAATATGGTTAAGTAGGTACACACACAAACACACAATATATCCTATTATTTTCCCATATTCAAAAACTAATATTAACCAATAATATCATAGGTCACTGATCAAATCCCTAGTTCCACCCTACATTATTAATATTTGGTTTCACCCTGAAATAAGTGTCATATGCATCATGAATGTTGTTTCACGTTGTCTTTACACAACAGTTTGTCAACTTCATCTGTGTTTGAAAAACCCATTAATCAATATCACAAATGCTACTTGTCAGGTTATGTTCATTGTGATTCTTTGAAGTTTTCTTGTGTAAACCCTCACTGTGAGTTTTATGAGTCACGTCACTTCCACATATGGCAACAATTTTCAGTGAAGAAAGATCAGCCTCTGGATGAGAGCGTGACGATCTAACACCCAGAGAAAGGACTTGTGATAAACCATTATATTCTTATCTGACTAATGGAGAGCCACGCGACTGATGCTGATATTCTCACAGCTGATGAAGGGGTGTTTCATTAAGAGGACTCACCTGTGTAACCATGGAGAGATCTATAATGAAGCATAATAAACAGCAGATTGCCACAGCGATTTCGCGCTGATAGCGCATGTAATACTTTCCAGGGAAAAGATCAAGAATTCCAGTTACGAAACCCTCCACACCAACAAACTGAAAAAAAAAAAAAAGTCAAGATGTGTTATTAATGGGCTCACTTCAAAAATCAAACTCAAAATATTTTCAGCTGCATGGTGATATTTTAATCAAAAACACACAAGGGCAACTCTTTGCCAAATGAAAAGAAAATGTCCTCTGACAACTGAAATAAAAACCTCTTTGAGATTCAAGTTAGATTTAATCATTTCCACATTTGGAACTTCAGATTCATGGCAGTGATATTTTAGTATCATTGAGATACTATTATAGTTTTTATTAATATTTTGAATATTTTTTTCTGTTTTAATCTTAATTGTTTTAATTTTTCAGTCTATTTTTTATTCATTTTTATTTTAGTTTTAATTATTTAATTGTTTTAGAATTTATTTTATTTCAGTTAATGTTTCCTACTAACGAAAATTATATTTCAACTAAAAAAAGTTTAGTTTTAATAATATACTATAATAATAAACTACTCCACAGTGTTTGCTGATTTCCGTTTTTTTTTTTTAATTTAAACTTTGTGTAAGTTATTTATTTTATATTAGGCCTATAGCATGGTGTATTTTTATTTGTTTTGTTAATAAAAGTTCTGTGTTTAATATAAGTGAGTTTGTTTTGTTTTGTTTGTTGACCGTTTTGTTGTATCCATTCAAGCAACTGACACCGAATTGCTGCAAATTCGAAAGTGAAAGTAAAATGTGCATGGGCATTTACAAGCTATTTAGGAAAGTTTATTGAAAACCCCAATGAACCCCAGAACCCAATGTTACCAGTGTTGTCACACGTCGATTAACCGGTGAGAAAATTTCCTCACCGTCACAACCCAAATCCTTTACATATAAGACTATCCCAGAATGCATTTCCTTACAATTAAATATTAAAAAGACAGTTGTTACATTTTTCTTGATCTGATGTCATAAAAAAATTATAACTTTTTTTTTTCAGTGTCATAATCGTAAAAGCAGTAATCAAATACATCTCCATTAATGTTCTGAAAATATTTTTAGATTTAATTATTTATAGATTTTTTTCCCACAGATTTTACTGAATAATTTAACAGATTTCTGTGGGTGGCATTTCAAACTTTGGCCATTAATATCATATAAAAACCACACACATGATCCTTAAAATGTCTGCATGTGAACTGACCTGACTGTCCAGTCCTAGCAGTAGCAGCATGATAAAGAATAGGGCAGCCCACACCGGAGCCACGGGCATCATAGAAACGGCTTTAGGGTATGCTATGAACGCCAAACCGGGGCCTGCGGGGAGAAGAGAAACATGAGAGACGTGTCACCATGGGCTACAGGCCGCCCACAACAAACGTACAGCACCAATGGAACAGAGAGAGGCAGAACTCAATCAGAGAGAAAGAGAGGGAATGAGAGCTAGAAGCACCTGGATGAGGTGAAACGAAGTGATAGCTCGTGGAAAACAGGGGTGCGGTGTGTTCATTTTTCCTACTGTTTATCGTTTTTTATTGCTCCTCTATATAGAAGGCAGGTTTGGATTAGCCATTTAGTTGTTAGAAATCTTTGTTCACTCCATTCTAATGCATTTCACTGGAGATGAACTGTAATGTTGTGTAGGCAGCGTGTCATTAGAGGCGTGTAAGTGCATGCTAACATAGAGGGCGTCTAAATCTATTAGCATCATTAGTCATCTGCCATAATACTGGTTTCACAGCACACAAGTCCACAAATTTACAATACTGTTAGTTTATGGCAGACAAATTTTACGAGCCAGTTAAGCACAAATTTAAATCTGGAGTTTGTTATCTGAAACATTTTGTAAGTTGATTTGTGTCCTAAAATATAAAGGGACACAAAAAGCTTCTGCTAAATGAAGAAATGTAAACTGAACTGAGTCGGCTGATAATTGTGCATTTTGGTTTAAAATAAGCTGCTTAACTATTTTAATCATACTGAACTAAACACTTAAATGGGTCATATCACATTATTTATTTTATTCCACCCAAACTGTTTGTAAAGTTCTTCACAGCAAAGTAGTCATTGTTTAGTTCATTACCATAAGAATTCTATGTATGCACCTTCTGCATGTGAAATGAGAAGTGAAGTTTAGCTGCACTCAACTCGCGTTGTTTCCACTATGGTGTTTAGGTGCTCCATCCATCAAAAACAGCCTGGATTACACTGAGAGATTTGTACGACATTCTGCACGGGAAAGAGCCACTCAGACTGTTCTGAAATGTTCTAAAGTTGAGATTTTTCTGCTACACACAACAGGATCAACACATGCTTTAATGTATTATCTATAGATTTTAATACAGAGTTCTGGCATGAAACTCTAGATAGCGCAGTCCGATAGGTCTAGCTCAATCTGACCTGGCGACATCATTGTCACATGGCAGCTGATTGGTTCTCTCCTGTATTGGTATTGGCATTGCCAATAAGCTTACTGCTTAATATTCAAATACCTGGCTTTTGTTTGCTGTAGCAGTTGGCAGCACACTTCAGAAACCCTCCACCTTCCCCAGCTCCACCTGTATAGATCTGCTATGGGGTGATTCATGTATGCTATATGGGGTTATTCATATGTGTTATATGTGCAGCAGCAGTATTTCTTACATGCATACAGCAGCATGTTGTGGATGTATTGGCAGTAGCAAGTCTCGGTACTTGCTCTGTCGCCACAGCAGCGTATCATATCTATTCCGCCAAGACCAAATACATTAACATTATCATGTACATTACCATGCCAATCCCTCTGAGAGTTTTCATGACAGAACTCTAGTTAACTCTTCAAGTGTTTAAGAATAAAAATATTAAAAATGATAAATTATTTGTCGATATTACGTTACTGTGAGCCAGACGGCCATGTGTTATATGTGTCAATTGATGCTTCAGTCATGCGTTGAAATATTATTAATGTAATATTATTATTATGGTAATATTATAGCATTAGTTTATAACTTTTTTTTTTTAATAAATAACATTTGAATTAAAAATATAAAAAAATCAGTAGTTATATTTTCTTGATCTGCATTGAAAAAAATTGTATACATATATATTTTTATAAATATTTTTCGTTATCTTAAAATCAGTAATCATAGACATTTCCATCAATTTTCTAATAATAAATTCAGATTTTATTTCATTTTAGATTTTACTGAATAATTGTAACAAATTTTTATGTGTGGCATTTTGAACTTTGGCAATTAATATAATATAAAAACCTCACATATCAAAATGTTTTCATGTGAAGACTATTAAAAATACACTCCAGTCACTGATTTCTTATGTTGAGATCCTTCTGATAAGAGAAGATTCTGCTACAGAGATTCTGCAGGAACAGTAAATGCTTTAACATATTTCCTATATATTTTACTCTAGTCAGCTCTTCAGGAATAATAATATATCATACTTTGTTACCGTGACCAGATAGTTGTCAATTGATGCTTCAGTCATGTGTTGAAATATTATTGTTATTAATTTATGGTACTATTACAGTATTAGTTTATAGATAAACCTTTTTTTTTCTTGCTCTGATAGCATTGCAGATAGATAGATATATAGATATTAATGTTGCAATCTTGAAAGCAGTTATCAAATAAATATCCATTGATAATTTTAGATGTTATTTTTAAATAATCAAACAAATTTCTATGGGTGGCATTTAAAACGTTGGCGATTAATATAATATAAAAATCAAACACATTATCCTTGGAAAGTTTTCATGTGAAGACTATTAAAACAAGCTTCAGTCGCTGATTTCTAAAACTGAGATTCTTCTGATACACACAACAGGATCAGCACATTTTAACATATTTTCTACACATTTTACACCAGTTAGCTCTTTGGAGTTTAGGATTCCTAAACTTGGTGTTTAGGAATAATAGTATATATCATAGTTTGTCATTATTACTGTGACAGGACAGGCCAAGTTACAGGCTCATGTTTATGTTCAGAAGTGTATCATGTAAAATTAAATTTCTCATTATATGACCCCTTTAAGGAACTGTAGAAGTGGGATATTTTTGTATTACCAGTGGATACTGTATACGACACTGACGTTTAAGTAACAACTATGCCTATTACTTTTTTTATTTTTATTTGATTTGATTTCTGACAAATGTAGCAAGATACAGGCAAATGTAATGGAAATACACGGTGAAGAGCCAGAAGAAAGATGTGTCTTCTATTAATGTCAAGCGACAGTTTGGAGAAGGTTAGTGCTAGACGTTAGCGCTTTTTATTGTGTTGGGGTTAAAACAGACTGAGTGCCGGCGGTGTACAGCTTTTCCACACTTTGGCTTTGTCTCTCAAGATGAATGACCCTAATTGTGGAATGAGGCTAGGCTAAGCTGTGCATGTCGGGCCTGACGGTCGTAAGTGCTGACTTTAGGGCTGGGCTGTAGTAGAGGTGTAAATGCTAACATTAGATATCAGAGGTTTACCTGCGTTGGCAGACTGCTCCAGGACCCCTCTTGAAATCGAGATGTGCACATCTCAAGAGGCAAAGTTCCTGGTTAAATAATCCTTAAATTAATACTTAAATAAAGCCAAAATATAGATATAGAGATATAAATAAATATATATGAATCACAAGATATATATAGAACGGGACTGAAGACAATCAAGGAAAACTAGTCAAAGCATCAAATTTATGATGGGGAATCTGGTTCGCTTTCTAACTGTAACTGTCATCCGATTGTGTGCTGCAGGAAAATGAAAAATAAGAAAAAGCCACAAACAATGTATCAATGGTTTCCTTCTTAATGTAGTCTGGAAGTACAGCACATCACAGCCCACTCAGACATCACGACACAAGCACACTGACACAGAGAGCCTCATTTAGACCTTGAGATCTGTTTCTAAACATCATACTGGCACAGACAACACACTAAAAGACAATAGGGCTGTGCAATTAATCGCATGCGATTGTCATGCGCATCTTGTCAGTAAAGCCGGTTCCGTGATTAGTAGTAAATCTCCATCACCTGCTTTCAGATGGAGCGGCATTTAATACACAGAGCCGTAGTTCACTGACAAGCTAGGCAATATCACGTTCATAATCAAATGCAATTCATCTGCGATTATGAACGCGATATTGCCTAATTGACAATCGCATGCGATTAATTGCACAGCCCTAAAAGACAAGGACCAACACACACACACACAGATGAGATTCACACACACTCACACTCATTCCTATACACATACATTCAAAACATGTTTGTGTGTTAGGGGTTAAACGACTTCAGATTTTTTAAAGTTGACATTTATGTGATGAAAGTCGAGTCGACGTCGACTAGTCGCTGGTGACGTCATTAAAGAAAAAAATTAATTTATATTGATATATAGATATTAGATATATAGATAAATGAGAAATGTTGCATTGGCAACTAGCTGAAATAAAGTAATATTTTTT